CTCATGAAACTTATACATATCAAACAATAATATCTAGCAAAATGTCACATCATCAATATCCGAACAAATGTACCTCATTTGGTAACTCTTTGTTTAATATAGCATGTATTTCATTCATAACCTAATTTATCTATGTAGGTTTAATTTGTGAAAATTTGTGAAATTTTATTTTTCATACTTCACAATTGTTTACAGTAGGGTCATCAATCAAAATTTTTTATCAAAATATTTCTTGTTAATTTATAAATTTAAAATATAATGATATAGTAGACTACTTTGGTAGTCTACTAAACCACAAAAGTAGACTTCATAACCTAATTTGTCTAAGTATGTTTAATTTGTGAAATTTTATTTTTCATACTTCACAATTGTTTATAATAAGTTCATCAATCAAAATTTTTTATCAAAATTTTTTTTGTTAATTTATAAATTTAAATTTAAAATATAAGTATATAGTAGACTGCTTTGGTAGTCTACTAAACCACAAAAGTAGACTTCACATGGAGTCTACGCGTTGGATTTCTGGTGGAAGTCTTCTGGTAGACTTTTATATTACGTAACAGACTTCGCTAGGGTTAAAACAGTCATTATGGCCTCTGTTTTTTTGTTTGGTCATAAAGGATGTAGTTGTAATTTCACTACCCCTTTGGTTTATTTTTATCAAACATGAGATATGTGGGTTACCCTTGTATTTCAAATCAATTTGAGGGTCATTTTTAGTAATTTTCCCATATTTTTTTCCTAACATATATCTATATTTTTTGTTTTCCCTAACATATATAAATTGATTACTAGATAAAATAGTGAAATATTGACCAAACATATTGATAAAAATTGATTTAGATTTTAAAATATCTGCAAAACTATTATTTTTATTTATGCATATTTTTGTAATATTTATAGAAACTTTGTACAGATTTTCAAGATTGAAATTTAATTATTCAAACCAAATACATTTTTTATAATCAAAAGTCTGGGTTTACGTTTTTTTTTCCCGATCATGTACGACATCGAATATTAAAAGCAAAATTTGTTCATGAGAACGAAAAAGAAAACCCGAATTGTGATAGACTTTTACATATCTTTTTTTCTCTCTCATAGCTTTGATTAGGGAATAGGTTCCAAAAGTTGACGTCATCTCGA